TACCTGAAGAACAGATTAGTAAAGTGGTTAATGGCAGGATTGGGATAAAGTGAAATCAACGCTGAAGCCAAATTTATTCAGCTTATACTTTTGAGTGCCTGAACAGTAAGTGAGTTAGAAAGATGTCCACATAATCAGGGTCTTGAACAGCTTGAGCCGTGGAATATTGTTATGATAGTGGAAACATCCTAAAGCATGCTACCCAATATGGTAGTCGACAGTAATGCACAACTACTGAACATTTAAAATGTGGGTAATTTGACTAAGAGAAGGATATTTTAAATGCCATTTAAAATACTTTTACTTATTTTTTTCTTGTCCATCCTGGGGTGCTGTCCCTGAGCTCTTTTTGCTCAGGGCTAACACTCTACCACTTTGAGCCACAGTACCACTTTCTGGTTTTCTGGCGATTAATTGGAGGTAAAGCCTGCTTGGGCTAGTTTTGAATAATCCTCAGATCTCAGCCTCCTGAGTAGTTAGGATTATTAGTGTGTACCACCAGCACCTAGCTCTTTTAAGTAGCCACTTGCCACTGGCTATTGTATTGGACAGTGGAGGCCAAAAGTGGCTGGAGGGCTTGAGAAGGTTCAGAGTGCTACAAAAACAGGTACAACAAACACAGACATGATTTCCCATTAAGAGAATTCAGTCCAGCAACGGAAAACACATGGCTGAAACAAGGCAACAAAGCTTCTTCTGCCAACAACAGGGAAGATAAATTAGGACAACAAAGAGGATACTCATTGGCAAAAAAAAAAAGAGGTCATACTGCAGCTATAGTATTGAGGAAATATTACAGTTTTGACTTTTCAACAGTTGATAAATGGTGGAAATAAGTAGTGAATTTAGTGTCTCTGAAACATGCAAGTACATATAATGAACAACTGGAAATACATATCAGTCTAATGAAGACACAAAGGGGAAAGAATGATGTAATAAAACTCAATGTATATCCTAAAATATTAAGAAAATTGAGGGAAGGGGTAGAGTTGGGAGGGATGGAAGAATGATGAAAGGGTAACATTTGTATTTATAAACTGATTTGTTGGACAGCAATTCCTTTGTACAACTAGTTAAAATGTTATAAAAATATACTACAAACACACAAGTATGGAGCTAACAAAAGACTGACAAGTGGGTCAAATAGTATGGTTTCAGCAATCACAATATTTAAGTATTAATAAAAAAGGAAATAGCTGGGCGGCAGTGGCTCATGCCTGTAATCCTAGCTACTCAGGAGGCTGAGATCTGAGGATCACGGTTCAAAGCCAGCCCAGACAGGAAAGTCTGAGACTCGTATCTCCAATAAACCACCAGGAAACCGGAAGCGGCACTTTGACTCAGTGGTAGAGCACTAGCTTTGAGCTGAAGAGCTGAGGGACAGCCCCCAGAGTTCAAGACCCATGAAAAACCAAAAAAAAAAAAAAGGAAATAATGAGTAATGTAGTCAAAAATAAGAAAAAGCTTGAAGAAGTGTTCTTCAAGAAGTAATAGATCCTGAAAATCAGGAACAACCAGATGTGGCAACTGTGAAGCATGTAAGGATGGAGGAGCATGCAGTTTTGCCCAGTGCTCATGCAAGAGAATGCAAGAGACATGCAACATGAAAAAAGCAGATGAAATCACTTTAGCTAGGCTCAGTTTCTCAGGACAGAAGAGAATGTCTAGATAGTTCTCAACCAAGAATCTTGTATTAAAGAACACACATAATAGAAATTAAAACAAACATAAAACTATATGCATTTGATGAACAACCGAGTTAAGAACGGAGCAGGCAAGAATGAAAACATCAAAATAGAAACACATCCATGGCATATCAATGAAACTGACAAGATAATCATCAATGTGAAATATTTTCTTTATTCAAGAAACATCTATTCAATGAAAAGTCTAACACTAATGCTAGTGGCTCATGCCAATATCCCTAACAACTCATGAAGCTGAGATATGATGAAAGACACTGACTGGATCACTTGAAAGAATTCTAGTTTCAAACCTGGAATACCATCGTAATCTTTTTGTGTTTGTGCATACCAGTTTGGGGGCTTGAACTTAGGGCCTGGGTTCTGTCCCTAAGCCTCTCTGTGCTAAAGGCTAGTAGTGCTCTACCACTTGAGTCACAGCTCCACCTCAGCCTTTTCTGTTTATGTGGTACTAAGGAATCGAACCTAGGGCTTCATGCATGCTAGGCAGGCACTCTACCACTGAGCCACATTCCTAACCCCATCATAACTTTTAGAATAAACTAATAAAAACACAAAGAAGTAAAATAGACCTGAGAACAGAATTATGGACATTTGTACTGTATCCTGAGGCTAAAGAGAAGAGGCAAGTAATCCTACTATTGTTTCTGGAAGAAGGGTATAAAAACTAGCTGTTCACAGAAATTGAGGGACAAAGGTTAAACAAATGCAGCAGTGATAGTCACTAGACAGTATGTTGAAAATGAACTATGCAACTTATGGGTGGTGATGGGAGGGAAAAACTGGGAAAGAGCGAGTGAAAGGATGACACTGTCCAAAAAGCAATGTACTCATTAGTACCTGACCTATAAAACTGAAAGTAACTAAGGTTAAATGAGGTTATAGTTTCACAAAGACAAAAAGCCATGCAAGGATACAGAAGATGGCCATCTCTGCCAAGATGTTAGGCCTCCACAGAAACTAAACCTTCCAACATCTTCATCTGGAACTGGCAGCTCCCACAACTATGAGAAAATAAAGCACCAGGGAACCAGTCTGCAGTATTTTGTTAAGAGATCTTTACACACTAACATAAATACTCTAGATGAAGTTACTATGGCCAAAATAAATGGCACTCAATCTACTTAAAAAAATAAAATTACATAAGGAAGTATCCACTCTGCACCTGCAAGCAATCAAGTTTTTGTTTTCTGGGGATGAGTGGATCCTAGAGGCAAGTTGACAAATCTGAATCACAAAACAAAAATATTAAACTTCTGGAAAATCAGACACAAAAAGAGAAAACCCACCATATTCTATTAAATCTAAGATGAAATAGAAAAACAAAATCACTTCCTTGAAGCGACTAATAAAAGAAATATGAGAAAGCCCCTAATAAAGAGGATCAGAAGAATGTATGGAAATCAGAAAGCATCAATTAAAATTGCGTGAATGCTACCAATAATTTAATCAAAGGCAGAAGTGCTCAGCCTTAAGGAGATGTCAAAATTTTATTTAGGATTTGATAAAAGCTCATACCACTTGAAATTTCTGAATCTGAACTCTGAAGGTAGGGTTCAAGAATTTTCCTTTCTGTTGTATTTTCAGATTCTGCTAAAACTTTTGGGTAAGAGACCATACCTTGATAGCTAATAATTTTGTTATTGTTTATTACAGTGAATGTGATCAATGTGGGAAGGGTCACATAGATTCATTCAGAGCTTCTGGTCTCCTTAAACTATGAATTTAGAAGCAGTTCCTAGAAGTCAAGTTCTATCTATTTGGATTTGACCCTGTATTATTTCAAATGTAATTTTTTTTGGGGGGGGAGAGAAAGTTCCAATAATTCAAACAGTGTAATAGTTATTTAAAGTCAAATGTGCATGGACAACAGAACTATGAAATTCTAATTCTTAAATTACTAGCTATGTTACATTTAATCCTGCAAATTACATAAAGAAATACCACATACTTCATCTTAAAACTAGATTAAGAACCAATAAATATAAGACCCAATAAAAGTAAGTTGTATCCCCAGGCTTGAAAATAGTTTACTCCTTTAAATAAATTATTTTAGATTACCAGACTTCAGATTCATTACTAAGAATCAATAACCTAGTTTTTAAGTACAATGTAAAGATATGCCTTCTAAAAGATTAATTTGCTCTTAATAGTTGAGCATGTTTGTGTCTCAGCAGTCAATTATAAACAAACATGAACTAACTTACCACTGTGAGGATGATGACACCTGTGAAGTCTTTAGATTTTTTTCTTTAAAACAAAACCAACCACCATTGAAAACCAATGCAATATTCTGCTCATCAGAGAAATTAAACTCCAAACCAAAACACATTGTGATAAACTATGATGAGCAAAATGAAACTTAACAATAGGAATGGAACAAATTCTTCATCACTATCAGATTAGCAATGCAATGATATCTTTATAAAGACTATCATATAATAGATGAATATTTCCTCTTTCACTATAGGTCTTCTTATGAGACACTAATTAAAAGCCTTAGTTTGGTGATGCTAAAACACACACATAACATGATGCATGTTGTGTGTGTATGTATATAATCTGCTAACACAGCATCATTTATACAGAAATTTTTATAAGTTCAAAAAAAGATGTCATGATTAAAGGTTACGTAGTTACCTTTAAAGAACTGATTTTGATTTTGATTCACAATACTTCATTAATCTTAAAACAGAAGTTCCATATACAGGACTTTGTTTTTGGAAAAAATGAAGATACTTATAGCTTCTAGTAGTTAAACAATATCAATTTCATTTCACAGCATTGATTAGTAGAGAACATTTTCAATGAAAGTGGTATACAATTTACAAAAATACAATAATTATATAATGCTAACATTGTCCTCCATTATGAAGAATATACATGTTTGTGGTGTACATCTATATGTACATGTGTGTATATAGATATGCACACATAGTTAAGTTATACAAATAATCCTTATTCAAGTGCTTTATTCATGTTTCATTTGAAATAATCACTTCACTATATTATTTGTAAAAACATAAAAGTTCAATCTAAGAAAAAAACTAAAAACTTCCATGTAGCTTGACTTATAAATCAGTTGCTACTTTCAGTGAAAACTTGATTCAATCAAAGTAGGTTTTAGACTCCATTTAAATTCAACAACTTGGTTAAAAATATAGCCAAAATATTATGTGTCAAATAGTAAATTGTCAATATGCTACCAATACAGCAAAATAAAAAGACTGTATAAGCCACTCGACCTAACATCAATCCCAAGGCCAACTTCATAATATACCTGCTTGCAGACACATAGGTAGCCATAAATAAAACTTTATTCTTTCATTTCATTTACAAGCTATCAAATAATTATGTATCATACAGTGTTGAACACTTAAATGGCTTAGTCATGGAAATATCCAGACTGCAATGAAAGCTGTTGATAAAGAAAAGATGAAAGCGAAGTAATACTGTAATAGAAGGGTGGCAAAAGAAGTTTTGCCATAATGAAAGCAAGTGGGTTGCCGTTTTCATCAGTTCTGGTTAAAACGAGTCTGAGTGCCATGCAATTCTCAGCTTTATTGTGTGTAGTCTGGCTAAAGTCTGTATAGACATTTTGTCTTTTGCAGTTATTAAAATAAAAAAGTTAAAAACTATAGCAGCAACAAGCAAACCCTGTGACAGCAACGCAAGGGTTAAGAACTAAAAAAAAGTTTATACAGTGCGTTGAAGGAAAGAGTGCGCTGTTTATCTCCCATCAGCAGGCGTTCGACTGAGGGACAACATGATTCGGGCAAATCGCTCACAGAGTTCATGTGTAGAATATGAAGGTAACTTCGGGGGCTCATGGAAACCTTTAATCTCTGAAGAGCAGTCAAGCAGTTTTGGAAGAAAATCTGTCAGCTTTTCTTGGAGATTTGCTGCAAATAAAAACAATTCGATGAATCAGGCACTGGGCTCTTGCCTGTAATCCTAACTACTCAGGAGCAGAGCTGTGGTTGAAGTAGCAGAGCTCCATTCTGGAGCGAAAAGCTAAGGAACAGTGTTCAGGCCCTAGGTTCAAGTCCCAGTTCTGCCACATACACACACAAAATTAGATGCATCTTAACAGCAAAGTTACCAAGTGATTATCTGCAATGTGATTCATTAATCTGCTTTATTTTGAACTATGTAAATTAACTGCCATGCTTTAATAGATATTAAGAGAATAAATGGCAATAGCACTGTGTAAAAAATATTATGCAATACAAAATTGGCAATAAAATAACCATATCCTAACTATTTTCATCCTCATAACTCAGATACCTACTAGCATTAAACTTACATTCCATTTCTTGTCCTAAGTAGGAACACCATCGATTCCTCATATCTTCCACAGCAAGTATATCTTTCTCCTCCATCTCATCCACCAATAACAGAGGCAAAAATGGAACAATAAATTCATTCATGATAATCAAGCCATTGTTTACTTCTCGATCCTCTCCAGATTCAAATAGTTCTGCAGCTTGCTCATTTAATTTTAGTAAACATTCTCTTCTATAATGTGATATCAACTCTTCATCATGTCCTCTGTATGGGCCCTTGGACAAGAGCTCTTTGTTATTCTGGTAAGCACAGATAAGGAACAGCAAGGAATCTATATAACTTAAAAAATTAAAGACAATGTTAGAATTTCATTTCTGTAAAAACACTCACATTTTATAAAGCATTTGGTGTATACTCTTAAATTTGGAACATTATGCACTGACTTCCCCAAAGCATCTTTTGAACAGCAACACCTTAAGTTATGCTTTAAATGAAATTAAAACAGTAGCTAGGAAATAAAAACTGGGAGAGAGGCTCATTGCTGAAGAAGATGGTCATTCTATGTTATTTTGTTACTTCGTTTTCTCACTATCTTCCAGTTGCACTCACAATTTAGATTGATGTGAAAGCCTACCATGTACTTGTTTAACAACACAACATTTTTTAATGAAACAAAGATCAGGTTTCTTTGTTTTATAATCACAAATATTGTTTGGTTCATGCAGAGACTCCTTAGTATGAGCAAAGTCTATACAGTTTAAACCTAAAATGTCATATGTTCAACTAGGTCTAAAGAATAGGTGTAAAAGTGTTTAACAAAATATTATGTTTGTATCTAAAATAATTATCTTTACAGGCATTTAAGGAGTAAGGAGTCATATATTTATAAGTGAAAGATAAAAAAACATATTAAGATATCTCCTTTTTCATTTTTCTAATCCTTAGTCAAGTAACAATTATTAATCTTTACAGAGATTATTAATAGAGAAAAATATAACATCTTAAACAGTGAAAGAGTATAAAGAAACATTTGTTTCCAAACCTGAGCTAGATGGCCAATCAGTGTTAATGTTTATGATTTACTTCATATGCTCAGAGAGAAGATAAATCTACATTATAAAAGGCAAACTGCTATATTATTTGAAAACTAATATACACATTTATGACAAATTAGATTATGTATCAGACACTAATTTGATAAGTTTAAATATTTTTTGAAAATACTTTTCCAGGAATTTGGTTTTCATAAAACTTGTGTGAAATTTTATTTTTAAATTGCATGATTATGTCAATAAATAAATCCTCCACTAAAGGTCTTTCTTATGAAAAACAGGGATGATTTTAAGTGTTTAAATTGTGGTAGTTGGCTATTTAATATATCATTGACCTATGAATCTTTTGTATCATAGCTGTTAGTTTGCAATTCAAGATCTCTCTTGAATTACACTTTTGGCCTGATAGAGCTGAGTCCCCTCCCTGAGGATAGTCTCAGTTCTGCACTGAGGTGGACAAATAGTTTTTGTCAACCGTTAAAGTTCTTACAAATACATAAAATTCAGAGTAAAAGCCAACAGTTCAGTTACCATTCATTTGAAACAAAATATGCTTCTTTACCTTCCACTTGTACTACTGTTCCAAAAAGTATTTCATTTTACTGTTCAGAAATTGACATGTCTTCGGTTACATTTTTATAAATATAAGACTAACACAAGATTTCTACATAGTAGCTAAAAAATTAAAAATAGCATTTCTTTTAAAAATATTTGATACCATTATAAATTTTGTAGCCAAGTATCCCACTATAAAAGATATTGACTATCCTAGAATACTGACATGTTTAACAACTGTATATTGAAACCAAATAAGCTCATTATGTAATGGAAACATTCTTCTAAGTTATGCAATTAAAAAAAATGAGGAAGAATTATAGTGTAAGCCAGGCTTTCAGTTAAACAATTACTTTCATCTTTTAAGTGTTTACTGGGTAAGATATATGAATACATTTTCTGGAGACACTGTGCAATTATGTTGCCCAAGCTGGCTTCATGGCTTAGAGTATATTTGGCATGTATTTTATTCTATTTTATTTCACTCAACATAGTTGTCTCTATTTTAATTTTTCTCTCCATAGTTGCAAGTTAACATTAAAGATATCAATATTAAGAAATGTGTAGAGAAATAAATATATGTAAACTAGTAATTGGAATGGTAAGCAAATCAAAATCTATCCTTTTCTTAACTACATATAATAACATTAGTTAAATAAGAAGTTCCCTCAAGATTATGCATAAATAGAAATCAATTTAAAATGTGTTTAAAAATCATATTACTTTGAGATTTTCTATACATATAATTTACACGGTTCCTGACTACCTCTGACTTAATTTTACTCAAAGTATAAAAGACTACTGGGTTGAAGGTAGATATTAGGGAATATTAATGAGTTCTCTGTGCTTGGTAATCAGCTCCTCTGATCCGAAGCAAACTCAGTAGTTTTTAAATCGAAGCCTATTTCATCATAAACTCTTACTATAACATTTGAGAGCTTATAAAAACACAGACACTAGCTGGGCATGATGGTATATATCCACAGCCTAGCACCTTGCTAGGCGGAGGGATGAAGATCTCTAGTCTAAGGCCAGCCTAAGCTACATCGCCAGACACTTTCAAACCACAAAACAAAACAAACCCTCAATGGATAAAATTATAAAACCAAAACAATGCCAACAAAAGAATTTGCTCATCTTGTAGATTTAAAATAAAACAATATATTTTATGTTGGGCATATAAAAACTATTTATTCTAGAACTTAACATAGTTTTAAAATGAAATGTTTATTAAAATAGGCAACAAAATAAAAATAAATATTGTGAGACTTTTTTTCTATTAAGTGAGATCATAACTGAATCGTTTTGGCAACAGCTATAGTCTCAAATTGTAAAGTGCTGCTTAGCCAAAACAAAGTCCTAAGCTCAAATCCTAGCTCATCAAGATACATTTTTGTTGTTTTGCCAGTTCTGGGGCTGGAACTCAAGGCCTGAGTGCTGTCCCTGAGTCTCTTTTTGCTCAACACTACCACTTGTGCACTACCACTTGAGCCACGTGCCACTTCTGGCTTTTTCTGAGTAGTTTATTGGCAGTAATAGTCTCACGGACTTTCCTGTCCTGGCTGACTTCAAACCATAATTCTCACATCTCAGCCTCCTGAGTAGAAGATTACAGGTGTGAGCCACATCCAGTGCCCAGCAATAAACAGTTTTAAATAAAATGGTTTAGTTCTTCTTCTTTTTTAATATTTATCCACTGAGCTTTACCTTTCTCTTTGAAAATTTTCTAATCCGATTATGAGATACATAGTGGTTTCCCTGAATTTCTTATAATCTTGATGCCACTCCTGTAGTGAAAACAAAAATATAATGAATTATTCACAAGGTAACTCATAGTTATGACTATCCAATACAAGAGAAATGAAAATTTCAAAATTAAACTATATAACTTATAATTTATTTTCTGGCAGACCACTTTTTTCAAAAAATATCAAGCACTGAGAAGTTAAGCAATAAAGATCTAACTAGAAAATTAAAGATGCAAAGTCAAGATAAGTCATTTTTCTTTCCATCAAAACTGCCTTCAGTGATTGAACAAGTTTACTCTCCCACCAACAATGAAGTAGGCTTCCCTTTTGGCCACATCCCCTTCAGCATCTGTTGTTATTAGAGTTCTTGATTATAGCCATTTTAACTGGGGTAAGGTAGAATCTCAATGTTGTTTTGATTTACATTTTTGTTATGGCTAGAGAGGTTGAACATTTCTTCATGTGTCTATTGGCCATTCTTATTTCCTCTTCAGAGAAGTCTCTCTTCAAGTCTTTAGCCTACTTATCAATCAGGCAGTTGTTTCTTTTGAGGATTTCTTGTTGGGGGACTTAAATTTTTTGAGTTCTACATGGGTTCCCTTATTTGCAATAACTAGTATATGTCTAGGACAAGCAGAAAAGGTCAAAAGCTATGTACATATGACCGTATAAGAACATACTAAACAAAATGAACCCCAAGATAGGGACACAGGAGTTTTATCTTTCTTGCTGTTGTTTATAATGTACTGTATGATATTTTTGTTTCTTTGGTACGTTCTTCCCCCATAGTATAACCCCTGGTGTCACTGTATTTGGTTCTAGTGCCCTGCATCTTGTATACACATTTTTCTAATTTGGGGAGGGGAAGGGAAGTAATAAAATGCAAAACAAGGATACAGGCTGACCCAATGTAACAATGAGATGTACAAGAAACTATGTTGAAAATGAACTTTATAACTTCGAGGTGGGGGTGGGAGAGAGGGAGAAGTAGGGGAGGTGAGAAGAAAAAAAATGGTAGAAGAAAAAAAAGGAGGGGTAACAATACTTGATAGGAAATGTACTCATTACCTTACTCATGTAACTGTAACCCCTCTGTACAGTATCTTTACAATACGAATGTATTTAAAAACTGCATTCAGTATACATTTATATTACTCACACACAGCAATTTTATAGAATATTGTTTATCTAAAATGCTTGGGACCAGGAGTGTTTCAGATTTCAGTTTTCAGATTTTGGAATATATGCTCAAAAAAAAAAAAAAAAGAGAAGACAGACAAAAAAAAACAGTTTATCATCTCCAATTCAGATGTTAGAGTATTTCAGAAAATTTATCTCTCTCACATCGAAAGAAGGAAGTAAATTTATTACTTCAATGTGCATAAAAGTTGAAATGCTTAGTAAATGTTATCATGCATTTATTACTTTTGTTGAATGCATGGTATCCTCAGGTGCAGAACATTTAAGATATGGTGACCGGAGGACAAGTCAACAAAATTAGGATTTTATTAATTTATTTAAAAAATTTTGACTAAAGAAAACTAAAATACAATATATAATTAAAATCTAAACTCATTAAAAAAATAAAATTTGAAATGGTAAAGCTTTTGTAAACATTAAAATAAAACAGGTTATTAGCCAAATATGATCTTGCTTATAAGCTATCTTACTAAATAATTTTTACTCTCAATTTTAATTTTCAAGGCAGAATTTTGATGTTTTTATATCTAATAAGATAGGCAAAACTGCTTCAACCAGTAGCTTTAATGAAGAAAATTCAAAATTAAACCACTCCTGTGGGATATCATCAGAACTGGCTTAGAAGTTCTGAGGCGGCAAAGTTTCCCTGTGAAAGGAAGAGAGAAAAAAGTTTTGTCTGTATCGGCCGTGCAGTCTCTGCCAACTAAGTGTTAGTGGGCAGTCAAAGGTGGCACGCAAACCCATTTCTATATGCCAATACACTTTATTGACAAAAGCAGGCAGTGAGTTACAGCTAGTTCACAGGCCAAAGTTTACTGACTCTTGAACTTAGAAGATGGCAAGGCAAGACAAGGAGTCTGAGGAATCCAAAACCATGTTACTTAAATATTCACGCGATTTAGTGAACTATAGTTAAAAAGAACATGAGGTTTCAAAATTAAAAAATAGAAGAGAGGCAGATTTCAGTCTTTTGAAGCATCCAGGAAGACTGCAGAATTACATCTAAGTAAAAATCAAGTCCCAGGCATGTAAATCCTGAGGGAGGAGAAGCATAAGATGAAACCATTATGAAAGGCACTTAATGAGTTAGGACCATTATCTGCTAAAAGACTGGCTTGCTCCTCATGTCCATAAGGAACCATATTCTTTACATCTTTGGTGCCACACCATGTATACTAATCAGAGCTCTCTGGTCAATGTATTTCCTTTATGAGTTAATAAAGCCTAACTTCTAGACAGCTTTAGGCAGAAATCTTTCAGAAATGAAATAGATCTGATAAATAAAGTGAGGAAAAAATCCAGTTTTACTTATGTCCCAGAACCCCTTAATGAAAAGCATTCTTATTGTTAATGGATTTGTTTCCGATATCTCTGGCAAGTGTTCAGCATTACTCTCTGGCTTAAATCCAGTTAATACATGCAAAAGGTTGAGAAGAATGCTCTGCATATATACTAGGCTCCCGATAAATATTAGATGCTACCATATGAAAGCAGTTTCAAAATTAACAGTATGATGTTATACTCTTAATTAGAAAAGTTGTTTTTAAAAGTATATAAGAATTAAAAAATCAAAACACAAAATCCCTTTCGGTTTTGAACTTTTTAGCCTAGATACCACTATACCAAATTAGCCCTAAATCATTTACGAAAGTATTAGTATCTTGGGCGTGATTTAGATATTTAATTCTTATTCATCACCCATGACGCATTCAAGGTTATGCTGAAACAAAAGGAGTTATCAGTGAGCTGCAAGATACCTCAACTCAGAGTTCAAGTTTTCAAAAGTATATTACCTCATATTCCTCCATGTTTACTTCTTCTGGTTTTATCATTTCAAGTTTAGCTTGAGCAACTTTCATGATATTATGACACCTTCAAATAAAAGAAAATATATTTCTAAATTAAAATTCAAAAAAATGAAAAATATGTAAAACTAAACTACTAAAATACACATAAAAATAAATCTACTATATCTGAACATATTTGTGAGATAACTTTCAAATAACCTGAAGTGGCAAAATATGGCTTATTAAAAAAAATATTGGGAGTGAGTGACAAAGAAAATAAGATCGTAATTCTAATTTCAAGTTACTATGTTATATTAACATATGCCTTTGAAACTCTAAGCTCTATTAAAACAGTTTACATAGACAAAAACTATGTTTTTATTTTATTGTTTCTTTTCTTTTTTTATTGTCAAGGTGATGTACAGAGAGATTACATTTACATAAGGTAATAAGTACATTTCTTGTCAAACTTTTTACCCCTTCCTTCATCCCTCCTCCCCAGCCCCCCAACCCAAGTTATACAGATCATTTCCAACACATTGTCTTGTGAATATCACTGCTGGATTGGTTCCCCCCTTGTCCTTTGTCTTACCATTCTGTTGTTCCCCTTCCTTTCCCTGATTCAGATAAATATGTAAGTAATACCATACCAAAATCAAATACAGTGACAACAGGGGCTATACCATAGGGGAAGAACATACGAAAGAAACAAGAAATTACATAGTACATTAAAAACAACAACAATGTGGTACACACACACGCACACACACAAGCGCGCGCACACACACACACACACACACACGCACACACACACATACACACATATACATACAATGGAATTCTATGCTTCCATCAGAAAGAATTGACACTGCCCCATTTGTAAGGAAATGGAGACTTAGAAAAAATCAAGTAAGCCAGACCCAAAGAAACATAGGTTCCATGGTTTCCCTTATTTGCAATAAATAGTACATGTCTAGGATAATCTTAGCAGATGAACACAAAAGCTCATTAGCTATGTACATGGACACAAGAAGTTTTTCTTTGTTGTTTTTAATCATGTTTTAAATAACACATCTCTATTAAACAAAGCAAAGAGACAGTGTTTCTTCTTTTCCCTTGAAATGGGATTATTTTGAAATAGTAAATAGTTCAAAATGTCATGTCAAAATGCCACTTCATGTCAGGTAAAAATAGAAAATTTTGATGAATGTTATGATTAGACTCATATAGTAAGAGTCCTCATCAATTATACTGCTGAGTCCTCTGTAGTGATATGTATTAAAAATAAGCTATATTCATGCTGTGACTAATAGAGCCCGCATTTATTGAACACTCAGTTAACTGCCTACTACATATTTTCCAAAATCATGTACTTGTATTATTTTAATTCTAAATTTCACAAGAGACATATGATGAGGCAGCAACTGATCCCAGATGGTCTGTTTCCCTCATATTTTCCTCAAATACAATTTTCAACTTCAGTATTTTAGAAGCATTTAAGAAGATAATCATGTATGTATTTCACAATTTAAAAATTAGGATAAAGAGGGTTGGGTGTGGGAGGGGGGATGGGGGAAGAATGGGATGGGAAGGGGAAACAAAGGAGGAGGCTACAATGCTTGATAAGTAATGTACTCAATATCTTGCCCATGTAATTGTAACCCCTCTGTACAGTATTTTCACAATAATTGTTCTGGATACTAAAATAATTCTTCAAAATCTTTTGAAACTTAAGCTGCATAATAGGAGTTCATTTACTGTTATCAAACAAAACTTAATTAATTTTAAAATTTATTTATTGTTGGTTGCAGGGCTTGAACCCAGGGCCTGGGCATGTCCCTGAGCATTTTTACTCAAGGGTAGTTCTCTACCACTTAGAGCTACAGCTTGCCTTCCAGATTGTGGTAGTTAATTGGAGATCAGAGTCTCACAGACTCTCCTGCCTGAGCTGGCTTTGAACCGTGATCCTAAGCTCTCAATCTCCTGAGTAGCTAGGATTACAGGTGTGAGCCACCAGTGCCCAGCTAAAATTTAATTTTTAATGTGTGGAATTTTTTAGTAGAAAATAACTTTTGGTGACCCAAATTAATTTAACTATTATAAGTGCCCTTAATGTCAATGCAAGCTTAATTATTTTGTTTTCATAAATGAAGAGAAACTTTTCTTCAGTGATTCTCCAGTGTATTTTTCTCTGAGGTTTTATTTGAAAAATAAAATTTCGACATGTTGTAGGCTTGTCACAGTTGGGATATTATTGCTATCTATCAAGTGGAGATCAGTGACACTGCTAAGTGTCCTACAGTCACGTCAGGTCCACACAACACTATTTACTGACTTGAATTATCTGAATTTAAGATTGAAAAATATTTTTTTCTCTAAATTACTGAGAGTGACCTTTTGACTTACAATTAAGATATAGTAAAATTATCAAAATTATTTTCAGTTTACACTTTAAAAGGTCATATAGACTTCAGATGAATTATAATGTATTACTCTAACTGATATCAAATGCAGTGGTACATTTATTAAAATTTTGTATGAAAACTAAATACAAATTATATTTGAGCTTTGAAAAAGGACAAATGGAAAATATGAATTAGATAGTTTACCTATCACATTACCTTTCATCGAAACTCAAATTTCTGTCTCCAAATTGTTCTAGTAGGGTTTTCTCAATGATTTTCTTTGGAGCCTGGTTCTGGATGAAGTAGACTACTACATGATGTAAACGATAATCTGTCTCTGGTGGGGTGTCTTCCTGGGCCAACTTAACCAATCTTGTATACTCCAACTTAATGGCCTATAAAATATAACATGAATGACAATTTTAACTAGTTATAATCCCTTAGAAACCTTTAAAATTACAATTATAATACTTGTACTCAAATATGTCTTCATTTTAGCATACAACAAGTATAGTAGTATACCTAAGAATGTTCCGTATTTTACTTTCGAAGAACTTTCTGAATAAGTGGTCATATAGACCCTTCCTTATCACATCATTACTGTATATTTATTTCTGACTTCAACACAGAAGTGACAAAATACTACATTTTGCTTATGATGTAACTAATCCTGTAAAATTTACCAAACCATTGTCAAAATCTATATAATGGCAACACGCAAGGGATATACTAAGTTCTCACTTGCTACCTTTCTCGCATCAGTTTACGTATCTAAAGTTTAGAGCTGATATAGTTACCTAGCATACCTTATAAGCATAGTTAGCTTACTACAATTAACTTTTAAACAGTCTATAAATAAGCATGAACTAGAAAACCCTGAATTGCAAAATGATTCTTTGATGCTTTCACAGTATATAGGTTTTATTACTGTGGTTACAATTATTACATACTGTTATTATTGTTACCTTCCTATTTGTTTTCCTTTAGAAAAACAAGCATCTCAGAATAAGTAATTAGTTTGGAAAATAAGTATTTTTGCATTTCCATATATGAGCAAAATCTGTAAAGTATGTGACTATAAAACTCTAGGCTTATACATCAAACACTCATGTACCCATGTAGCACACATGATAAAGACAGCACTTTTGAAACTTTCCTCTACATTAGGCTTACATCTATAGTCTAGACTACAACACATTTTGAAATACATAAAAGATAATGTTACAAGAAACTATTCTATGAGAAAGGTGGTGATTTTTTTGGTGGGGAGGGGTGGTACTGGGTTTCAACTGAGGGCCTCATGCTTGCTACACAACAACTCTAACCACTTGAGTGAATTTTAGTTCTCTTTCAGATTAGGTTTTCATGCTTTTCCTCAGTCCAGCCTCAGACTACAGTCCTCATACCTCCACTTCCTGAGTATAATTGAGATTAATAGGTATGCCTTCACTATGCCTTGCTTGTTTTATGATATAGATCCTGACTAACTTTTGTCTTCAAACCACAATCCTCTTATTAAGTACACTACCACAACACCCAGAAGAAAAATTTTGTCCAATGTATGTATTCCTTAAGGACTTTATGTAGCTGTGTTCAACTGAAGGTACAAAATGCAACTATTCAGACATCTTTCCACTGTGATCTGTGTACTCATAAATGCACATCCTCCCCTCCCTGCCCCAAGGTTCTCAACAAATATCCTCTCATTTATTCCCCATCTATCCATGGATGACCCACCTGGTTAGCGTAGTCATGTCACTTTTATGAAACTCCTCTTCAAGTAATTTCTGCATAGAATTTTGTTCTACATTTCTAAAGTATGTCATAATATCATTTTCTGAATTTTTCTTATAAACACATTGGAACATCAAATACATAAGCATATAGAATATTGGATTCAAAAGTTATGCCATTTACTAATAGGTTAAACAAACCATATACTATTCTAAATCTTCATTCTCTTATTTGTAGTTATAAGAGTATGTTTCAAAATGACCTATCATTTAAGACATTATATGCCAAGAAATGAAAACAATTTAACCTTCTTAAAGTTTCAGAACAAATGAAATAATATTCTTTGACTCTAATGCAAAACAAAGATGAAACTTAGGAACTTTAAAATGTTGTCCTAATATGGAGCCAAATTATCCATGAATCAACTGACTTAGCATATTTAATATTTACAAAACCCTCAAAGGAGATAAACAATCAACCTAAATATCCACACATAAAATATTTATGAGAAGGTACTGACTCTCACCAAAAAGAACATACATTTTAAAAATGGGTTACACTTTTAATGCCGTTTTGCTAGACAACCACCAATAAGAGTTAAAACTAGCAAATCCACTTGAAGGTCATTTGGTAGTTTTACCAATAGGAGAATTTATAAACACTTTGAGTTGTCAATTATATTCTTCTATATATATACATACAATGGCCAATAATATATATGTAAGAATGCTTGCAACAATATTGGAAGTGACCTAGATCCACAGTAACGGACAGGGCAATGATGAATTTAGTAAAAGCTTAACAATTTTCAAATATTTTTATGTAAAAACATAATCTAATGAGCTCCATATGGATTATCTCATTTATTTTTCAGATGTCTCCTTTAGAAATAGAAACACTGGCTCTCATAACTTAATAAATCACCTAACTTAATAAGTCACACAATTATCTAGTGAGAAAACTAAGACTGAAATCTGGGTACCCAACCACAGTGTTCTTCCTGGTTTGTAGCTGGCTTAAGAAGGAACTTCCTTGCCTAGAGCATGAACAGGTTTGCTGAGATACTGATCCCATCAGCCCGTTTAGAAGGAGGGAGCTCTTAAGTGCATCACTGACGGACATACATCATGATTATTTTATACTTGGCAGAACATGGGAAAAAGGTAAGTAGGATGCTCTTCTATGCAGATATTTAAATATATTTTGGTAATCCCAATAGGAAATAATGGAAGTGCAATAAAATCTATAAAGTCTGGTATAAATAATTATGTAAATTATAGTATGTGAAAAAAGAACCCAAGAAAAAGAAGCAAACAAGTCAAATAATATCATTCTACTTCTTGAAATTATGAGTGCTTAAATGTAAGTCAAACTTGTTTATCTTTCTTCCTATGTAAGAAACAATATTAGAAGCTAATTGTACAAGTGAGAGATGCGAGGAAACCATTTATAATCTATGTTTTGGTGTGTGTAGTTTAAATGTCATTTTCCCTAAACTTTCTAGATTCCAGCTCTTTTCTCATTTTGTGTACTCCTTATCAAGTTGCTTCTTCATCATTCTGATTATAGTTCAAATTAATGTTTGCCTCCCCACTAGAAAACATTCTTATGACCAAAACTCACCCAAAATTATCCTAGCTACAGCCACTAGATTTAGGACAGTATCTTGTATATTTTGTCTAGCAATTGTAGGATGGGAAACTCTTTCTTACTGTTTATAAGGATAGACACTGTCATGGGAAGAACTGTAAAAGTGCTCTTATAATGGATTGATAACTCTTCCTAAAGCAAGTCCATTTACCAAGACACATGTTTTATTCTCTAACACTTTTTTTTTTAAACCAATTACAGTGCTGAGAGTTTCACTGGATGCTTTTAACACCAGCAAACATACAAAGCTTTGGAAAACTGGTATGGAAGTCATTTTCAATATTCCTCAAATACTTGTAAACCAAACTATTCTCGAATCCAATGATACCACACTTGGGGCATTTATCTGAAGGATACAAATCCTGCACACTGAATTTCCATGGAAGCACTATTCACTACAGTCAAATATATGCTAATGGCCAAGATAATCTATATTCAATAAATGGACCAAGAATATGTGTGTATGTATGTTTGCATACATATTTATGCACCACAAAGAATAAAGTAATTTGCAGGAAAATGGATGGACCCAGAAAAAAATCATATTAGGTAAAGTAAGCTAGTAAAGAGTGCATGGTTTTCATGTATATTATATCGTAGATATATATTAATAATATAATATATATCTAATATATACCTAATATATATCTAATATAATTATATAAATATTATATTAGATATATGAGATCAAAAAGCCAAAGGTATGGCTTTTACAGCAGTGAAATTTCTTGTCATAACCCTTTTTTGAACAATTAACATACAGTTTTACAAAATGATTATCAAGAAGCTGAAAAAGATCTTGAATGTGAGGGGTAAAGTTAAAAGAAGAGGGGCAAATATACTCTTAAGACTCAATGTACCTACAAAACATGAAACTAGTAACCTTGATGAGACTGGTGGGAAAGGGACAGGTAAATGCAGCAAAAGGACACCAGATGTGACTGATCAGGATACAATTACACATAAATGGACACATTTATGGAAGGTGGAAACCCACTTGTATCACTATTTGGAGGAAAAAAAATCTAGTCTTATCTTACTTAATGCATAAGAAATTCCTTGTGCATTAAGAAACACTTTCAAGCACAGAATTGAAAAGCTTTCCCTCGAAGGCCAAGAGTTATGTGCAATAAGTCTAAAGATTTTTTGTGAAGTGGCAAGAACAAAATGTGAGATATCATTTTCCATTAGCTTATAATAATAACAAAAACAAATAGAATAGGAAGAAAATAGGGAGACAGAAGCAACTTTCATATGTCAGATGTTGTGTACGTATCTTATGAATTAGAACTGAATAATGACTAGAATGAACTGCCAAGAAAAAGAAGCCAAAGTGAGACAGAGACAGAGACAGAGAGAGGATATAAGAATGAATAAGTGAGTTCCTAGGTGCTAGTAGCTATGCTACAGGAGTAAAAGAAAACAAATCCATATTGAAGTATGTCCATAAAGCTCTAGGAAAGGCTTCCCCAACAAGATAAAATTGGTAAAGGTTAAATAAGAGACGATTTAGAAAACCATACAAACCAAACTAGGAAATGACTAACTTCAAGAAGATGAAGGCCAAAGAAAGAAAGGAAGAGTGATGTTTGTAGCTTGGTTCAATGCTGTGCAATACATGCAGTAATAATGCTGCAACCTTCCCCAATCCTTCCCTCTTCCCTTCTTTTCCTGTCTTTCTTTTCAATGTTTTAAACTACATTTTTAGCATTTCATATAAGATCTTAATAAGAGGATGATTTTGTCCTGGAACTAGTGTACCTAGAAATAGTTTTGTATAGCACTTTAAGTCCATATTCTAGAAAACTCTCAGTCCTAGGCAGGTCAGACCATTGGATACGGAAGAAGTGGTGAACAGATAATGATGTACTCTCACAGTAATACACTGACATATATTGCCAGTGATGGCAAGCAAAATCTGTCAAATGTCACTCTGCGGTTTACAGTTTCAAGCTCCCTGGGATAGTTGAAATGATCTATTCTATCGATTTTGACAATTAAAGTTGTATCAACCATAAAAAAGTGATTACACTAATCTTAGAAAATTACAAAATGTTCATTGAGATAAGCTATTGTACACAAGACTTTTATTTAATATACTATGTTTTGTAACAGTGGTGGGGATAAGGAACTTTTAGAAGACCAGTCTAGATAACTGAAAAGTATAGGAAATCAAGAGATATTTCGAAGCCGGGTGCCGGTGGCTCTCACCTGTAATCCTAGTTACTCAGGGGCTGAGATTACAGGACTGAAGTCCAAAGCCAGCCTGGGAAAGCAAAGTCCATGACACTCTTATCTCCAATTAACCACCAGAAAACCAGAAGTGGCACTGTGGCTCAAGTGGTGGAGCATTTGCCTTGTGCTAAAGAGGGACAGTGCCCAAGCCCAGAAGTCAAGCCTCACAACTGACAATATACATATTTATTTTTTCTTGATTTTTTAAATATCAAAAAATTGTTTAGTTAAAACACAACATGAAGAAGTAATAGAAAAGGTGAGGATGTGTGGCAAATCTAAATGATAATGTATGAGAAAACATATGTGGTACTTCATCTTATAAATATGTAAATAAAATAACTTAGGTTGGGTGCCAGTAGCTCACATTTGTAAGCCTAGTTATTGAAAACACTGAGATTTGAAGATCAGATTCACATATAGCATTGGTACAAATCTGAGATATTCTTTCATCCAATTAACCAGCAAGAAGCTTGAACTAGAAATGTGTCTCAAGTGGTACATCACAAGTCTTGAGAAGAAAAGCTAAGCAACAGTGTGAGGCCATGAGTTCAAGTCCCAGTACCAGCACTAACAAATAAATAAATAAATAATCAAAATATTGAAAAGTGCTCATATAAATTGGGAAAAGGTGTGATCACAGAATGGTGAAGCAGGCTGTCTTATATGCATGAACCAACAAGGCTATTACAAATTCATTTTGTAGGAAAATGGGTAACAAAAAGATTGAATAAGAAAAACAAGATAATAAATGAGCAATTTGTTTCAGAAATATTTAAATGAATAAATCGGTTTGCTGTCAAATAACATAAGCTATAGTCATATAGCTATGACTATAAATAGTTGTTTCTATAATTGTTCATCAATACTGTTATTTCCTTCAAATGTAAATATCAATTCAAATTTGTGGTAATGAACCAGAAGCACATTATAGTAACTTAGGTAAAATATTTTCATTTTCTTAAATTATCTAAATTCAAAGAAAAGAGTTCTGGATCATGCATATAAGAAACAGCCCCAGAATTTCAGTTGGTCATGGCTAATAGAGGAAAAGAGAAATTATACAGGAAATGAATCTAAGATGTTATTCCTTAGAAAGGCAAAGGCAAAGTTCAAAAACATAAACACCACAGGAAATAGGAGAACAGAGGGAAAATGGAGTGAATAATTCAAAATTTGGAAGAGTGAGGGAAGTGGTGGGTAGCGGAGGGATGGGTGAGAATGTTGAGAGGAGAGACACTGTTCAAGATGTATTCATAAACTGCTTTGTTAAACAGCAACTCCTTTGCACAAGTACTTAAAGGTAATAAACATTTAACAAATTTCATTGTATGAACAAAAAAGACATTAGGACATATTTCAAATCAGGAAAATAAAATGAAAATATTAATAGTACCTTAAAGAACCCTGCTTCAGGACCACACCTGTCATACACATTCCTGGATTTACCTATGGCCATGATAATACCTTGCATATTCGGTGTCATCATGATCTGCCACAGGAATTTAAAGTAAGAGGTTTTAAATGGTTAACATACAAAAATTTAAAAATCAAAACAATGTCTTTCCATGCAAGTTAAAACACCACTTGGTTTCCGCTGCTTATAAATCAAATGTAGCCTTTATTAAACAGCAAATGTTAACTGATGTGCAAGTAAGCATCTTTCAGAATCATCCATACAAGGTACAGGTGACTCAAACAGTGCCTTCGTGCAAACTGCAAAAAGGCATCTTCTTTAAACTGTAGATTTTTTTTTGTTTTTTTGTTTTGGTCAGTTGTGGGGGCTTGAACTCTGGGCCTGGATGCTGTCCCTCAGCTCTTCAGCTCAAGGCTAGCACTCTACCACTTGAGCCACAGTGCCACTTCTGGTTTTTCTGATGGTTTATTGGAGATTAGAGTCTCATAGACTTTCCTGCCCGGGCTGGCTCTGAACCGCAATACTCAGATCTCAGCCTCCTGAGTAGCTAGGATTACAGGTGTGAGTCATGGGTGCCTGGCAATTCTAAAGTTTTTAAAGGCACTTCCTTCTAGACAAATCAGAACAATCTCTGCCCTCTGAGAGAACTTAGAAGCCTCAAGGGTCGGTATCTCAGAAAAAGCTAAACTTTAACCTCATTTCAGCCCCCAGGTTTGGAGTCCCTGTACAACTATAATGTGCATCTATTAGCACCTGTCTTGTACCCATGACTTACTCTAAAAACATTCAACACACATGCACTGGTAAACTATCATTCTAATAAATTAATGACAACAAACACAATTCAGCCAATAACCAAAGAATTAGCACAAAACAGTGTGTTAAGTGATTAATAACAGATCCATTTAAAATGCTAGGAGGCTTATTAATGCAAGCAATTAATGCCTAACAAATAATTTTTATTACTAAAAACTTGCTGGTTTCCATAATTTTTGAGAACCAACATTGCAAGAAAGTAGTGAGTTGGAATAATAAAGAAATATTAAGTACTTAATTTTTGTTTTTATACTAAGTGTTCAGAGCTGTTTATATTTTAAAATATCTGCAAAATTAAATAAAGCACTCTGAAGGTACCTTATATCAATCAAAAGATTGTAGCCACTATTTCTGACTCAATGAACGTATTATTCATAGTTTTAGTCTGGAATGTACAGTGATAGTTGTCTAAATGTTTCTAAAATCTAAGTAAGAAAACATTCTGATAAGTTCCTATTTTACAAATCTACTTTTTAAATAGCCATGCTATCTTACATTGCACAGTAATATTAATGATTTTGTAATGTTTTTGATTTTGATGATTCACTTTTATGTAATAGTCTTACATAATTAAGTTGGAGGAAGTTATTTTAAAAATTATACAAGCATGTATTTTAATTCATACATTCACTCACACTCACACTTTCTCTGTCTCTGTCACACACACACACACACATACACACACACACACCATTTTTTATCCACACATCCATAACAAAGGACATAGATCATCAAGTCATTCAATTGTCCTAAAGGAATTGCCTTCTCCGCTGTTACTGTGCAGAAATTGCTTTACTGGCCTTCTCTCAAACACACAAAAGGGAACCATTTGAAAAGGCTCAAGAGAAAGGTATAAAATGAGCGGAAAATAATCCAATGGACCAAACAATAGATCACTTTCATCTGGATTTTGAAGAACTCTTGTGAGAACTAACATACCTCCAGAATATATGAAAAACTACGTAGATGAGAATAGAGATAGAGATGAATTAAGACAGAGCCACCACAGTGTGTGAAACATCACAAGGTATAGTCACATGGAGAAATGCCATTCATGATCACAAGCAGAGGCTGTAGCAGCAAAAATATCATGTGTCTATCTTTTAATCATGCTTTAGGATGATCTACCTGGTAGATAATAGTAGGCAACTTACAAATAAATTATTTAAATAAAACAGGAAAAATATTTTAAAATATTTTTAAATGCAAAATAGTCTGTTGTGTGTCTATCAACCTGAGAGTAAACTGATCCTATTTTCGTGTACAATAATTCTTTTAGTATACTCCATTGCTTTCTACTTTGTTTTAGTTTATATTTAAAGTCGTGTTAGTAATTGGTAAGAGAATTTTACACTAAGGGTGGCAAAGCTGTATGTTACGCAGCAAGACATCAAGTGTGAGGGTGTAGGCATGCCTAAAGTGCTTGTATCAAACAACAAACATTAAGAATGGTGCAGAGTGATAAAATAAAGTACCTCATCGTCATACCCCCCCTCCTTTGATTCAATCATAAATTTGCCTACATGAGGAATCGCCACCTCTACAACTTGCTGGTTAGAAGGTGGTTGGCTTGTGGTAGTTTCAGGTTTCTGTAGAAGAAAATCATTAGTATGAACATTAGAAAATACAACAATGAAAGCACCAGCTTTAAGTGCCTGGATTCTCACACCTTTTTTTCTTTTTTCTTTTTTTTACAATGCCTGAATTTGCATTTGCTAAGTACAAACTTAAACCGAACATTGGAAGCAATTTTTTAACCAAAGTAATACAAAATCTACACGCTGTTCCGTTGCATCCAGCACACTTAGAAATAGTATTTCAGTTTTCCTTCAAAGCATCCGAGGCTCTACTTAAAATTATTGAAGTTAAAAATAAATACTGAAGATGAATTTCCTTCTATTTATTCAGCTGGAGTTTTATTTCAAACCAAATTCCAGTGACACTCAAAAGTTTGTCTTGATATTTTAATACAAGTAAGACTATACTTCCCACAATCTCATCAAGAATAAGAAGAATTTTCTTAGTAGGACTTGCTCTACTGCTTGAGCCACAGTGCCATTTCCGGTTTTCTAGTGGTTTAGTGGAGATAAGAGTCTCATGGACTTTTCTGCCCGGTTTGGCTTTGAACCGTGATCCTCAGATCTCAGCCCCCTGAGTAGCTAGGATTACAGGCATGAGCCACTGGTACCCGGCTAGGACTTACTTTCTAGTATCCTTTCTAGTAATCAGTTGTGTTTCCATCCAGTTAATATCCATTCTCTATTGTGTTTAATTCATTCTGAAAGCCTACAAGATTTCAATACAGTGCATTTACATCTTAAGTATTCAGTGAATTCAGAAGTACTAAGGCAAGTGTCAAAAGTTTACATGGTGCTTGGAATCATCTTGCATAAGTTTTTCTAATTTGTAGTGGGCTCCAACATTGTTATTCTTAATTCTGATATAAAACAAAGAAATTTTATAACAATGAAGGGAATGTTAAATGTTAAATAAATAAATTCATGGCCAAGGCCAGTAATTAATGCCTCTTCTAAAAGAACTATTGTCTCTTTAAAAGAAAATGGTATTTTCATAGTGCTTTTAAAAATGGTGTTCTTATTTGTGTGACCCTTTAACTTTTCATGGGGAAATAACTAATCAGCACTGTTTTGTGATCATGAGAGGTAATATTCATCTAATCCAGTATCTAGTACATAACAGTTGCTTTATAAATGATAAATGATAGGCTTTACAAATGTCATTATACTACTCTAAATTAATTATACTTATATAATGCTGACTAATATTACTACCAGATTCTATAAAGATGTGCTTATAACTATAGATTGTAAATTCTAGCATGTATGAGAGGAACTATTAGCTAGTTCACCATTCACAAGAATCAAAGATAAAATAGAAATTAAGAAATCTTATAGGATTTTTGGTGATAAATTTCGAACTAGAAAACAAATCTAAACTACTACAATCCTAAGAACAGAAAATGGAAACTAAAGCAAACTGGGAAATAGATGACTGAGAATACTTAGGAAATGCATAGGACCTGGGGGTGAGGAGAGCAATTTGAGAAATGTGTTATAAGCCTAAGTAGTTGCTGTCGAAGAGTTCCAACATTAATGTTGAGGAATTCTATGAATGTAAGTTGAGGACAGGAAGACAATTCATCTATATCAAGCTTTGAAACACTTAAGAGACTACTTTCTGTTGCTCTAATATTGGAACTTAATATATAGTTTACCAAATTTGGAATAGTAAGGAGTAATAAATTCACTATCAAATTTAGATACATTAAGATGCAATTTTTCACATAAACAAGGGTTCACTAAAGAAAAATACATGCTTATTTTTCCATAATTTTCAGTCTTTATATGAGCACATTAAGAAAGGGTAAGCTTGAGAACAGTTTTTAAAAGTTCCTCAGTAAGGTAAAAAAAATATGATAAAGAATTTTACTAATTTTCTAAATCCCACTAACTATATAATTTTTTTAAGTGTTCTCATAATCAGGTGCTGGTGGCTCACACCTTTAATCCTAGCTACTTAGGATGCTAGATCCCAATTCAAAGCCAGCCCAGGCAGAAAAGTCCCTGTGAGACTCTTTATCTCCAATTAACCACTCAAAAACTGAAAGTGAAGTGGTAGGTTGTTAGAGTACTAGTCTTGAGCAAAAGAGCTCAGGGACAGTGCTCAGGCCCTGAGTTCAAACCCCACAACTGCCCCCCCCCAAAAAAAATGTTCTCATAGGAAGGTAGCTATAAAGTCACAGAACTATAATCTCTTTGGCCACCTTAACATGTCATTCTTTCAATAAAATTAAACTATGAAAATCTATTCTAAGGAAAACACTTGAAATACAGATTTTTATTTTAACAGCTTATTTATAATAAAATTAAAAAATGTTAATGTATAAATAGTATACAACAGAATGCTTAAGCAAACAATAATTTAATTATTCAATGAAACAGTACTCAGCAGAATTTGTTCAGTTTACATCAGGAGACATTATAAGATTAGTGAAGAAAAGGCAAGACATGAAATTTTATATGCAGTAATAACTCAACTACAAAAATAAATCCAAGAATTATATTTACAAGTAAAGATGGGGAAAAAAAAACAAACCAACATATTGACAGGAATGGGTGCTAGGATCATTGAAGGTTCTTTCTCCAAGTCTAATTCTCTGGATTTTGTTAATAACCTAAAGCATTCCAAATAATATAAAACACAAAACTGCATAAACATTTCAATGCTGCTCACGGTTTCCATCAATCTAAGATTTACAGAATATTCTTATATTTTAACGTTGGAAAATAAATACTATATATTCGCAAAATATCTAGGACTAACGTAACAGAAAAATTACTTCTTTGTCCCACAATTATCTCCATTTATCTCCATTTTTAAGACTTAGGGAAATTTAGTCATCAGACAAGGCTGCATTACTAGTAAACATAAAAATCCCAGCAATACCTGATCCTAAATATTGAGGACTTAATTTAGCTTCTATCATACATTAAACTTCAATGAAAATAAAACAGCATATAAAACTGTGACCAGGCTATTAACTAATAATGAGATCAAGGACCACAGGGTTATTTTTACTAGCCAAAGATAGAAAATTTAAAATTGCCATATTATAAGAGACAATGAGGTTAACTGTGGATTATATTACTAGAAGACAGTAATGTAGGAAAGTACTTACACTATTTCCCTATCGTATTCTCTGCCTGCCATTGTACTTTTCTAAGTAGAGATGCAGCAGCAGGTTACTAGTTTACAAGATAATAACTTTATTAGTAAAACAAAATCATCAAAACTTAAGGGCTCATTTTTGTGAACTTGAATTACTTATGATTAACCAGACTTAAAAAAAAAAGAATGTGACTCTAAATGAAACTAGCTGTTTTGGGTTTTAAAATACCAGGAGAAAAAGCTGACACTAATAAACTATCATTTAGAATGTACCAAACAAAAGTTCTAGTTACCCAAGTCCCTACAAATTAATTTGCGGATGGGGCAAAATTACTACTACTCTGTTTTTATTTCCTACATTTTCCTCTTCCCACCCACCTAGAGGCAGAATTCTGACCAAAGAATTTTCCAAGAAAAACTTCAGAGTTAGCACATGCTCATCTTAAATTCATTTACAGTCTCCAAGCATTTACAAATTTTGGAATCATAAGAAAAATCTTACTTAACGGTAAGATGATGTTAATACATTTTCCAGTTTACAAACTGGAAATAAAGGTAAGGAAATACAATTAACAAAATATAATTAACAAAATACTCTATTTGACATTTTAGTTAATATGGATTTAATATCAAAGTCTCATTGCAATTTTAAGTTACTCCTGAGAGTTCACTTGCTAGGCAGAATAGTAAGTGTTGTAAAATTATGATACATCCTTCTATCTTTAGTTCTCTCACAGGAGAATTTTCAAACACTAAAAGGCATTACCATAAAATCTGCATTAGAACTGCTGATTCTTACTACTGAAGTACAATAAATGATAAATAACAAAAACTGAGAGGTTTTGCAATACCAAATTCTTGAAATAGCATCTCTCAAAGTCGTATGCACTGATATACCACTGTCCTCATTTAGCGTTACAGAAACACAAAACTACAAAATAAGAATATGATAGGGAAATAGTGTAAATACTTTCCTATATTACTGTCTTCTGGTAATGTAAGCCACAGTTAATCTCATTGTCTCTAATAAGATAGCATTATCTTTAGCCTGCTAACAATGCTCTAGCAAGGAGTATCTGATACGCTTACGGCCAATATTTTATGAAATAAAATTTATGTCTTCAATTCTCAACTATTCCAATGAAATTGTATTTTAGGTAAGAGGTGTGATGGGCAGGGAAAACGACAGTAACAAACTTATTAACTTCTCTTTTTAAGTTTCTAGTCAAATGCATTATTTTGTTTATAATTAGGATTCTTCCTAGTTCTCTCACATACAGTGCAGGCTTTATGTGAGTTGCCACGATGACTGACCATATTTATAACAGAGCCAACACTGCTCCCTGTCTCTCAACTCCCAGACAGGTTGCTCTCCTTCATATTGCAGGAAATGTCATGAACATGGCTACGTTCAGAGAGCCAAAAGAAAAGTTCTTACCGACTGCAAAACTGTTTCAGGACTTTTATCTTCATGCTCATGTGATGCCTTGGTAATTATTCGAATAGTTTCTTCTTTCAAGTGCTTTGAGAAATCACTTCTTGAAGGCTGTTCTAGATATTCTGGTTCTCCTGCTTGTGCTTCATGAGAAAAGAATCAATTGTATATCTAATATAAATCACAGAGTCTGTACTAAGATGAATCTGTTATTTATTTCTAATCTTCAGTTATACAATAACCAATTTTAGTATTCTGCTTACAATAAAATACATCCTTCAAAATACAGCACTTTCCACTTGAAATTTACAAAGAAACAAAAAATAACAACGAAAAAGAACCAAGAGCATTTAAACAATTATCAAAGAAAGCACTCATCATCATTTATGATAACTTACGTTAAAACTTTTCTAGAATGGAAAGTACCAAATCTCATTTTAGAAAATAAACATTTTGTCAAGAACAGAATTTGATATGGATGAGAGCAGAATACCCTTCTTCACACACCTACCTAACAAAATCCTAATCCTGAATGAAGCTAACCATTCATATTTTCTAAATTTGCCCTGGTAGGAGAATATTGTCTGAGAGAAAGCAAGAGAAAGCAATCTCAAGTTGGGAAACTAGTACCAGTATATATTAATGGCATATTAATGCCATCTATGTAAGGATATTCTAACATATCTCTCTTACCTACGTTTTGAGCTCAAAACAATAAATCCAACAATATGAGTATGTCACAAATAACCTCCTTGCATAACTTACATATTCACAAAGCTTTGTGTCAGTGCCTTTCCCTTCAAAGTCACCTTCTGCCCTTTCCTCAAAGGGCACAAGTTTAGTTTTCTCCATTTCTTCAAGTACAATGAAAGTGACATTTACCTTCCAATTTTCCTACATATTCTTCCCTCTGCTCACCCTACACTCACCTACTCTTCTGCTCTATTCAGACATTTTCACTCATCCTTGTCCTTGATATTTCTACTACAGTAGGGTTCCTTTAGCATTGGCATCACTAAGATATTATTTCAGATAGTTCAGTATTAGGCAGGGCTATGCTATGAAACTAGCATCTGCTTCCTAGATGCCAGTAATTCTGTTTCTGCCTGCTAGGGTATGAAAGTCAGTGTCTTCAGCATGGTCAAGTATCCATTAAAAGACTAAATCATTGATAAATGAGAATACCCTAAAATTTCCTTTTAAACATCATTTACTACAGTGTTAACCTAATTACTATTGCATCTGTTTCAAGCCCCTACAAGACTGTAAGGATTGCATGAGCTATCCCTTGCATTGCTGTCTTCAATGCACAAAACAGGAACATAATAACTTAATGGAACAAATGAGTTAATGCCTCAGTTAATGAATGGATATGAAAATAAAGAGGTAAAATCCCACCATGTTCCTGAAAGTGATTAAATAAGTCTTTCCTCACCTACCTACTGAGACACAGCAGGGCTACTGTCATCCTCTCTAACATTCCATTAAATTTAAAAATCTCCAAGGTAAAATAAATATTCAAAAAGTAATTTCAACATACATGGCTGAGTGGTCATTCATTTAGCCAACACATTTTAATTAAGCATCTAAATATATGCCAGGTACTACAACTCCAGTTGTCTAGTTTCTTTCCTCTTAAAGTAAACTATGGACAAAGTCATTAATCAAACGACCACAGATATAAATTGTGACAACATTCTAATAGTACATTCTATAAGGATAATGAAGGTAGTGTGCTGTGGTAATTTAATTAGTATGATAAGGGAAATCTAATCTAGCTAAATGAGTTGTTTTCATCTAAATGTGTTGATTCACCAGACAGAAAAAAACAAGGGCCCAAGCACTTTGCATGAGCCGAATCCAAGTAACAATGTACCTGCATAACAGTAAAAGAGATAGCTAGATATATTAAAAGATGATAAGGTAACTCATAAGTTATGTGAAAGTTTTGAGGGAAATAGGAAAATAATGATACTTTAAATAATGACAACATAGCAAATTAAAAACAGAAATGTCTTGGGAGCCTTTAGGGGAAGATCAGTGGTAGAATGCTTGCCTAACCTGTTCAAGTCCTTGCATTTAATACTTAGCACAGAAAAAAATATAATCCTAGTTACATTGTGAAGAAAATTTAGAAACGAGATTATAATTTAAGGTCAGAAAAGGTACTAAATGTGTGTTAGAGCAATCCAAAAAGAAATAACTGTACTTCTGGATACCAGACACCAATAGTGGTTGTAAGAAGTGGCTAGATTCAAGATTTACTTTGGACACAGAGGTTTAGAGACCAGAATCAGGTATAGTGGAGTATATCTATCTGTAAGGCCAGCATGTGGGAAGCTGGGGCAGGAAGTTGTGAGTTGCAGGTCAGTCTGGGACACATCTGAGACACTGTCTCAAAAGCCAAAAAGATTTGGAGACTATACATGAAGTTGAGACAAAGGTTTTGGCATGAATAATGAAGATGACAGAGATAAAAATTATTGTAAAGAAAACTCAAGTTAAAAATGTTTAACATGTACCTAACAAGAGGAAGAAGTTAAAATGTAACTGTCATACATATGTATTTCCTGACTTTAGACTGGCTTCTATCTATCCTTGGATGGTCTTAAATGATAATGGAAAGATACCTTAGGCTACTTCCAGTTATGCACTGCAACTTTCTCTGAAGGTTTTATGCAAGTGCTTAAAGCCAGCAATTCTAGGGCTTATCAGAAGAAACTTCTTGCTGAAGTTTTTTTTTATTGTGTTTGCCACTCTTTTCACTATATAGTCAAGAGTAGGATATGAACTTAATGTACTGAGGGTCAAAAGATCAATCTAGCCAAACATTGGCCTAACTGGGAATATATGTAAAATAAGTCCTTAGGAACAAGAGTAATTTTATTTAATTAACACAGTCAACCTACTATGGGACATCAGGGCAAAAAGTTTTCTTCCATGTAGAAGTTTAAGTACAAAAAAATATTATGGGTGATAACAACTGGTTTTGCCTCCACCTCACAGAAAGGTACTTTCTCTAGAATATTTAGAATATTATTGCTACCAGACAACTTATTGGATTGGTGATATAGGCATAGAATACAAGCTTACAAGGACTCAGAATTTTGGGAAACTGGAATAAGCAACATGTTACATTTCCAGTATGTGTGTGAACCTGTACCAATTTCAGTACTGTGCTATATATTTTTATATATCTAAATATTTTGTTCATATTAAAGAATTCCCAGTAAAATCAGACACATATAAACTCTATTATCATACTATGTGCTAATTGCAGTAAGATACACATATGGTTCTACAGAAGAACTATGGACCGAATACACACACTTGATATGGTGTTGTATGAAAAGAAAGATTTTCTGGAGATGAGTCTTGAAGGATTTGCAGAGAATATTATGAAGGAATAGCATGTGGGAAATCACTGTTGGACAGATACGCATGAAATTACTGTTATCAGTGAGTTTTTATGATGGTAATCAAACCAAAATATATGTGAAATATAAAGAGGGATATGATAAATTGGGTAGTCTGAACAGATGTAGGTGATGTAAAAGGGATTCACAAAAACTTCTGGATAAGAGATTGCTTTTAAGAAAAATCTATGAATAGTGACTTTTCAAGATGAAAGATACTCTACTAGCCAGGTCATGATTATAAGAAAGCTCCTACATGTAAGAAAAATGGTAATTACTTTAGATGAAGCATTACAGACAATTCATCATAGGAGATTAACAAGAGAATCAGATAATAACAAGATCCTCAAGAAAGGAGATTTTGCCTTAATTTTATCAAACCAAAATAGTAAACATGTGTGTACTAAAATTATAATAAGTAAAGCAAGCAGATGCAAAGAAACATACGTCCCCATAGTTTTCCCTTATCTGAAATAACTAGTATATGTCTAGGACAAGCAAAAGAGGTCAAAACCTATGTACATATGACCATATAACATGATGCTAAGTGAAAATGAACCCCAAGATAGGGACAAAAGAGTTTTTATCTTTGTTGTTCTTTTTAAGGTACTTATAATGTACTATGTGATTTTTGTTTTGTTTCTTTTATGTTCTTCCTCCATGGTATAAGCCCTGTTGTATTTGATTCTGGTGTCCAGCATCTTGTATACACATTTTTCTAATTTGGGGAGGGGAAAGGAAATAACAAAATGCTGAAACAAGGATACAGGCTGACCCACTGTAACAATGGGATATACAAGACACTATGTTGAAAACAAACTTTACAACTTTGCAGGGTAGGGAAGGAGGGGTTGGGGAGGTGGGAGGAAAGGGATGGTAGGGAAAAAAATAAAGGAGGGTGTAACAATGCTTAATAGGAAATGGACTCATTACCTTGCTCAAGTAACTGTAACCCCTCTATACAGTATCTTTACAATAAAATATACATTAAGAAAAAAATCTATAAACCAATATGAGAAAAATCAAAAGCTCTTTCCACTACTCAGATAAAATGATTATTAATGTTTTATTTTATATTACTTATTTTTGTATATTACCTATCTGATCTATTTTTAAAACAAGTTACATACATTGGTTTTAATTTAAAACATTTTTTCATGTCAATATACATCATTTCTTTTAACCAAGAAGTTTTGTACAATTAAGTCTCACCATCACATGTAGGCAATTCCCCTATCATTGTTAATGAGAGCAGTAGGACAAAACATTTAGCTTTTCCCTGTAACCCTATACAACTGTCATAACTGCTGGCCTGTATGATTGCTAAAACTTTAATAAGTGGAGACCATGCTGCTTATGAATCTTCTGCCTCTACATATGAATTGCTTTGGCTTAATATATTGTCACTTAAGACAGTGCGGATTACTTGTGAAAGTTTTGTTGGAATTTTTTCTCCCCCTGAGAATCTTTTGTTTCCCAATCTGGTTTAGATATTAAATTTCCCCCAAAGCACATGTGTCATAGGCTTGGTCACCATCCGATGGTGTTATAAGAAGGTGGTACAAACTTTAGTTCGAGGCAGTAGAGCACAGACTGCATGCTGTTGAAGAGCCTAGCCCCTTCCTCCATCCCTCTCTCTGCTTCCTGGTGACAGCGAGATGAGCAATTGTACTCCATAACACACTTCTGTCCACCATGATGTTCTACCTCACCACAATGCTAAAGGC